TATATATATATATATATATATATTTCGAATTGCAAATAAATAGCTCACATAATGAATTATGGATACAATTTATTTCATACTCATGCATTATGGGCATCATAAAAGTTCACATTGCAAATCACACATTAATTTTACATAAACATAAAATAAATAATTGAAGTAATAAGAAACGAGTGTATCGATTATGAATAAAAAACACAAAGCATCGTTAATTATTCAATATAATATTCCGAAATAAAAATCGGTATTTAACGTCACCGATACGTACATCGCCATTAAAAGCCGATGTCGATTATTATAAATAAGTAAGGCCAAAATGAATACGCCACTTCCATAAAAATGAATGTTCTTTTAAGTTTACTTTACCGCCTCCCGTGGGGGTGATCTCATTCTTTGCGTTTTTACAGTCTCTACAACGAGTGCGACCAATGTGCCACAGCCGGATTAGTTCATCTGACCGTGGGTAGAGTCCACTTGGAACTTGCTGGCTTTTGCAAGGCCTTGGAAGCTTTTCAAAGAGCTCACAAGATCGCTCATTCCATCCAGGATCCATCCCTCGAGCTTCAGGTTTGTACGTAACCGAACCACACTCGCTTTTATTCCTCTTACATTCTCACGCTCTCACTGACTCGCTACACTCGCTTGCTTGTTTGCGTCGCTGTCTCTTGAATACTCACGAACGAGGTTCGCTAACGCCTCGGACGAGCTGATGATATTTCTTTGAAAGCTCTGCCCCACCTCTCAGGCAGCTGAATTTTTCATTTACCTCCTTAATTCAGAGATAAATAATACGGGGCATACATAAATAATACGATGATTATAATAATAATAATAATAATAATAATAATAATAAGAATAATATACAAGATAAAGTAATAAATCGCGCGCTTTGTAATTCAACTTTTTATTTATAATTTCATGGTAAGCGCAATTCTTTTAGACTCTATACTTTTATATATTGCACATTATGAATTATCCAATGTATATTATTTATTTAATCCAAATGGACAAAATAGACATTTTTACCACTTAAAGCTCAAAGCGTTTTTCTATTCTACGATTACCGAGAGACAATTTCAAAATAAACGGTCATAAAAATGCGATAGAATTTTAAAGGTTATTATGACTGGTAAGAGACATAAACATTTTGAGTTTGACAATTGAATGCTTTCGAGTAAAGATATATTAAATAGAAAAATTATTAATACGTATTAATGAATGATTTATCGAATAACATGAGAAGCAGATTATTTCAGACCGAAATGTACATCAATGACAATTCATTACATACAAGACAAGAAGTATTAGAATAATTTGCTTGGCACTTTCAATATTTTACTACGCTGATTCATTATACTAATATGACACGACTATACTTGCGCATAAATCAATGTTAAATTATATGGATATTGCACAAGTGTCATAGATAATTGTTGTTACAGACGATCGCGGAAAATTATAAAAACATAATATTAACAATCAAGTTGAATAAGCTCCATTTAATCACATAACAATTTACTACATTGGATATTTATCAAATTACAAGCTTTTCAATAATATTTACATTATCGATATTTCTTTTTAAAACAAAATTATATTATTTGTAAGTAATATTTATTTTTTTGCCGAGCACGTTCTACGAAATAATTTTACAATTTTTTATTCGGCACAAAATTACAAACGATGGCATTATTAGAGAAAAAAATCCTTATTAACGCTTTCACCGCCAACTTTATCATAAGAAAGCGATATTTTCATAAGCGACGGCAATTCTTCGCCACATTAATAGTATAAAACGGAACAGAGTTAAGGAAAAATATGAAATAAAAGCGAGCGTCATTTCACAAGCTACAATCTACGCTCGATAAAATTTTATAGTTTGTCAATATCTTCACTTAGCCACATTTTGTACGGTGAAATAAGCAAGGGAAATGTATTAAATTAAGCGACAATAATGCCATTAAACGACGTTTTATACGAGCTGCAGTTTGTCTTGTGCAGGTGTACGTTGGATTGTCGGAACTGTTTTGCCGTCTCCAGGATGCAGACAAAAGCGCCCGATATGCTGCGCGCGCTTACGACCTCTCCAGAAGCCTTCAACTCGGTGACTTAAATTCCCGACATCACAGGGCGGCATTACTACAAATGGCTGCCTCTCTAAGGAAGAAGGGCGAGCTGGGCGATGCTCATGATTACTGCTCGGTATACATCCTGTCAATATCTCAGCGATCCTTCTTAATTTATTAATTCAAAAAAAAAAAAAAAAAAAAAAAAAAAAAAAAAAA